TAAGGTTCTAAGATGAGGAAAGAATAAGATTTTCGTAGTCAGCATATGTGGTTGCCCCACTTTGTAGTACTACAATAATATTCGCGCTTCTCTCATCCCAACAAAATTAAGCTTTAAGTTGAACTCAAACCAGTTGAATTCAAATCCAATGTTTCTAATTAAGCAAAACTGAATACAGTGGCTACGCCAGAGGCACCATCATGTAGAAGGAGATAGCTTTAAAAAGATATATGAAGCGTTACCGACACTTCTGGATTCTAATGAATTTGGAAATGGAAATTGTTATTGTAGCAAATACAGTGTCTTTCTAAGATGATAGATAAATTTATTGCATAGGGAGGCACTGTAAGCAATTTAAGGCTGCAAAACTAATGGCTCATATGAAACACTCAGACATCTTCCATAACCTATGCCTCTAAAAATCCAACCAACTTTTTTGAGATGAAAATCTCAAAGCACAGATTCTATTTGCAGTAAAGCGTCACTCAAAACGATGATCAAAGGTTAAGGAGAGAGGAGGGAGGGCGGGGGATTGGAGAAGAAGGGGTCATACCAGTAGTACGCATGCACTTATTCTCAAAATGTCGAAGAACAGAAGAGCTAGAACATGCTTTCCACAGTACATTTCTAAATTTTCAACAAATCCGCTTTAGGACCTTATTTCAGCACGTAACTAGTAATGTTCAAAGTAAATGCTACGCGCAGCCCAGCCGCAACCCTACGATTACTGTAACTACACTGTTACTTTGCATATGCTGTTCTTTACGACTTGTAGCGATGTAAACAACGAAATCGAAGATATTAAAAATTGTGGGGCTCATTTCAACAGCTTAAGAGGTGTCGATTTGAATTTGTGAAGAAAAACCTATTAAAAGCCTAACCTGTCCATAGACTACCTTCTCCAAGTGTTGGTGGTGAGATAGTGGTAGAAGATAACGATCTTCAACGCACATTTCACTACATCCGTCATAGTATGGATGATAATCTGAAATTATCAATTTGCTTACCACATGAATATTATCATTTGTTTGGTAATAGTAAGAGCTGATCAACAACCTTCGAGCACACATTTTCGAGCGCGATCTAAAGTCGTTTTATTGAATTCGGAGAACGATTTCGGCCCACACCTAATCTCTCCTCCATGCATTTCCACGTTTAGGCATTTTAGAATCTGAAATACTTCCAGATTATCAAAAAGTAG